TGGACGTGGCCCTGAGTGGAGCAAGGCCCCCGGGCAGCGCGAGGCCCCAAGCAGCGCAAAGCCCTGGGCAGCGTGGGACCCTGACTGCATGGTCCTGCCTTGCAGCTGATGCAGCAGCAGACGACGGTTCTCTCCACCTCCCACGGCAGCTACCTGAGCCCAGGCGTCGCCTTTTCCCCTTGCCACATCCAACAGATCGGTGCCGTCAGTCTCAACGGGCTGCCAGCCGCTCCTATTGCACCAACATCAGGTGAGGACCTGGTGTGGGCCAGGACGCAGCAAGTCCTTCACTACCAGTGAACCTCCTGCCCCAGCACGGCGTTCGTACAGGTAAAACAGTTCCCACATCCCTCCGGGCTCAGCGTCTGGATTAGGCCGCTCTTTTCTAACAATGCAGCCTCTGAGGACAGCAGTCCCTAGTTCTGCGCAAATTTCTCCAACCTCCCCGACACCCTCACATGTTCAGCGCCCATTCTCTTGCCCTGCTGCAGTTTCTCTCTGCTGCAGTTTTTCCCTTTGATATAGTAAAGAAGGTCCAGGTTCCCAGGATGGCACCCGACTGAGTACAGCAGTGCTATTGCTCATTATCATCATCCCCCAGTAATAATACCAGTGATAACGCATACTGGCTTTGGACACCTGTCAAGAACAGGGCTGTGTCATGCTAGATGCTGTACAAACCTGGATTAACAACTTTCCATCCCAAAGCTCTGACAGCAGCCGGGCCTAGCAATGCTGCGCGCGCTCTTCTCGCTAGCGCTGCCTCTAATTTTGTGACGGCTCCGGCACTAGTCCATCACCTCCACGTGCCAACTAGAAGAGACAACAGCTTTGTACACGGCAGTCTTGCCAGGCAGATGGAGGGAGGGAGTGTAGGCTTTGCGGGACCTCGACTCTCATGGGGTATCCTCTCTTCTTGCTCTACAGGGCTACATTCACCGCCTCTCCTGGGAACAGCAGCCATGCCGGGACTGGTAGCACCCATTTCAAATGGGTTCACTGGAGTGGTACCGTTCCCAAATGGGCATCCAACCTTGGAAACAGTTTATACCAATGGCCTTGTGCCATACTCAGGTACGGAGAGCAGGAAAAAAAAAAAACAAACCACCCATCCAGAAACCTCAGGAACTGCAGTTAGCTCCTCTCTTCTGGATTCCCCACACAGAACACTTCTGGCTCCCTACGGGCCAGGCACTGAGGCTCACTTGGCAGGAGGGTTGGGGGTGGAGAGGAGAGAGACAGAATGCATGCGTGATTCCCTTTGCTGTGCTTCTGATTATGGTCTTCTCTGCAGCTCAGAGCCCTTCAGTAGCAGAGACTTTGCACCCAGCCTTCACAGGAGTTCAGCAGTATGCAGGTACCAGCTTCCCTTGTCTCCCTCAGGCCCTTGCGTGGCTGACCAGATCCTCAGGTAAACAGTTTGTTCTGTCTCCTTGGAATACAGCTGTGTATCCAACCACCACCATTGCTCCGAGCATCCCTCAGCCACCGCCCATCCTGCAGCAGCAGCAGCGAGAAGGTGAGGATCAGGGTGGGAATGTGTCCAGCGCGGCGGGAGGGTGGGTGGGATTTGTGTAGCTCATCTTCTGCGCCACAGAACCGGCGGAGAGGAGACAGCACTAATCTTTGTCCACTCTAATCTTTAATATTGGAGCTGGGTTACGGAACCAACCATGTCTCTGCAGTGAGTGGACTGAAAGGGCTCAGAGGATGCTTGTCATGCAAGCTTTCCGAGCTCAGCCCTGGCCAGGTGCTGCCGAGTACAATGGGGACAGCAAGCACGAGAACACCGAGCTTTGACACCAAAGAGTCAGCGCCTTCCCTGTGTAGGCAGGGGAAAAGAGCACTTCCTCCCTATCTTTACTGATGCCAGAACCACCCTGGGACCAGTCAAACCAGGCTCTCCAACGTACTGTCCTCTCTTTTCAGCCTTCCTAGCCTCATGAGTTTGTTTTTCAGCTTATTTCAAAACTGGCCTGGACAGAATTTAGAGGCAAAGGCATTCTCTGTCTGCTCCTGCTTTGTACAGCATGTATCAGTGAGGGACTGGCTCCTTGTGCTCATCAGGCTCCCAGGGAGCAAGCAAAGGAGTGGGCAGGACCAGGTCAGCCCACAAATTGGATGTGTGGCAATCCAGGAGATGTCCAGTTGGGGCTGTGGCTTATGGGCTGAAGGCAACTGCTGCGTAGCTGTGGGCAGGGAACACTAGAGCAGCAGCTTTCACGTAGCAGTGTCTGCTGCTCTCCTAGGACTGGGAGAGCTCTGAACAAGGAGCTGTCACCTTGGCTAATTGCCCTCCAGCAAGACAGCGCTCAGACACTCACAGAGTTGTGTCCAGCACCCCATGTGGGAACTGGGCAAGCTGTGAAAGTGAATCTGCTCTCCAGAAACTCTAGCTCTGCATATTGCCTCTCAGCTGCTCTTAGAGAGCCCTCAGAACCCTTCGAGGACCAGTGACTGAGAGAGACGAGCAAGGTGAGGTCGAGAGAAGGAGGCAGTGCTGGGGTTCTCCAGTGCTGTGCTCTGAGTTGAGCCCGTTTCTCTTTCCAAAAAAACCTCTGTTTTGTCCCTCCCCATTGCCCCCATGCCTGCAGGTCCTGAAGGCTGCAATCTCTTCATCTACCATCTCCCTCAAGAGTTTGGAGACAACGAGTTGATGCAGATGTTCCTGCCCTTTGGCAATATCATTTCCTCCAAGGTATTCATGGATCGTGCCACCAACCAGAGCAAGTGTTTTGGTGAGTGCTGAACTCAGCGGGCAAGGGAAGCGTGATGGGTAACGAGGACCCTCATGCATTGGGCATGGCAGCAACAGTGCCGTTACTATCCGTGCCTGTGTCCTGTCCTTCAGGTTTCGTAAGCTTTGACAACCCATCCAGCGCACAGACTGCTATCCAGGCCATGAATGGCTTCCAGATTGGCATGAAACGTTTGAAGGTCCAGTTAAAACGACCCAAGGACGCTAACCATCCCTACTGACAGCAGTGAGCAAGCAGGAGTCACTTCTGCAGCACAGGTAAAGCTGGCACCATCACGGCACGGTTCCTGCACAGCGCTGGCCAGCGTCAGGGGGCAGCAAGGTCTGGCTGATCCCTCCGGGGTGGGAAGCCCGGAGCCGAGCGCAGTAACACAGCGAGCAGGGCAGCGGCCTCACCTGCCAGGGCCCAGCCCTAGCACCTGGGCGAGGCAACCAGGGCAGGCCTGGAGATGATGGCTAGGTTCAACCAAGAGTCTAGATCAGCAGGCAAGTTTGTGGCAGTGAGGCAGGTCCAAGGCTGAGCCAGAGGGTCAATCTGCGGGTCAAGATCAGGATCAGGTCTGGTGAGGGTAAATGGGGTCAGACGTAGGCCAGCGATTGCCAGGCACGTCTATAATGAGAATAATAAACAGATCCGACATGAAGGTGGGAAGACAGTCCAAGGGTTGGAGTCCAGATAGTAAGGTCCATGGACAGGACAGGTCCACGGACAGGCAGAGACTGGCAGTTCCGCGACGTGGCTCGGACAAGGACTGAAGGCACAGGCCTGAGCTGTAGTGAGACTCCGGGGCCCATGGGCAGAGTGCGGACAGAAGCCGCAGGTGAGGCTGGTCAAGGCCATTAAGGCCCGTTAGTGCACTCCGGGCCCTGACAGGCAGATGTGGTCTAAGCAAGGTTTCAGTCTGTTTTCTGACCACTCCCAAAAAGCATTTGTCTTCCTAAAAAAGGTTTTAAAGCCCAATAGTTTTGTTTTCAGTTGTTATGTGTGCCTTGAAATTAGTCTGCAGAGAAATTAGTCTGCTTTCCAGGGTAAGAAGGGACAATCCCATGATTCATGAGGATCGCAGAAAAGCAGAGAAAAGGTGAGACCCTGAAGGGCCCCAGAAGAGCTGCCCGACATGAGAGCTGGCGGTCAGAGCTAGCTCCTACCAGCCAACAGAGTGGGAGCAAGGGAGGGCGGATCTTGGTCCCTTCTAATTGGGGTCATCTTCCTCCCCGTTTAAGCAACAGCAACTCAAAGCCTGAGTATTGCATAGATGTCCTCCTAATCTCCCACTTCCCTCCCTCCTCCTTTCTATTCAGGTGAAGGGAAAGTCCAGAGGAAGAATTTCTGCTTCAGGTTGATTTACAGAGAGGCCAGTAAATTTATCAACTCTTTTGGCACCACCCCTTTCCTTCCTCTGCTCCCTACCTACCTTCCCCATCCTCCTCCCCAAAACACGCAATTGAAGAGAAGGCTCAATATTGGCCCAGCAGGAAGATTCTTGCCACGACGGACATTATTTGCTGCTAATGTGTTGCATAGCAAAGGGACCAGAAAACCAGCAGCCCCTGGGGACCCGAAGCTCTTCCTCTCGGGGTATGCCTGGAGTACACGGACCAAGAAAACCCACTGGTGTGTCTCCAGGTTACTGCAGTGATGTATGGAAACTTAGCTCCGTCCCTCCCTCCCTCCTGCCCCGTCTCCTGGCCCTTTCATAGTTAAATATAAATATATATATACACAGTCTCTATTTTTTTTTAAAGTGACTCACAGGACCAAACTTTTCCATTCAGAGACTGACTCCTTGCAAGAGGGATTGGAAGTTAAGGGTTTACCTTTGCAACAGTGTCTTCTCAGCAAGCACTGCAGATAGGCCTGAACGTTTTGAGAGGATGCTTGGATGGACAGAGAGCAAGAGAGAGAGAGAGAGCGCGCGCGCATCTCTCTGCTCAACGTTAACAAGAAGCAAGGAGAAAGAGAACTACATACCTCCAGGATTAGGGTACAGCCAACTGCTCAGCTCGAGTCGCTCATCCACCGACTTTAGCACCAGCCTGGTTAAGAATCTCAAGAGCTCTCAGTCTTATCTTTCCAAGGGCTGCTGCAGACAGAGCTGCTGGAATTTGGTGCCAAAGCCTATCCTGAGCACTCCTCGATTAGGCTGAAAGCACAGGAAACCAGTCCCTTCACCTACAGGAACTGTACTGCCTCCCCACACACGGCACAGATTTGTGTTTCATAGCTTCCCATGGTAACAGAGCACTTCCTTGAGCAAGGCAAGAGAAGATGAGAGAGTGTGAGCAGATGCAGTCTCTGAAACGGTGACAGAAGCCTCCCGGGGGCTATGCACTGCCTCCCCATGTCAGGAGTAACCTAACGCTGGTTAGCGGGCAGTTCCGATTCCCGGACGAACTGGGACATTTTCTCCATCTGAATTCAGCAAGAGGACTCACCTCTTACACCCTCTGCAAAGCTTTCCCAAGCAGCCACAAGGATAGTATGATGAAAGAGGGTTGCCATTCTGGTTTCTCCCCGCCTCCCCTGCTCCACCCCCTCCAAGGGACATATTATACATTATGCAGCATCTATAGATACAGCTGTATACACATACACTTAAGCACAGACCAGTCCAGAACTTGGTTTAACGAAGATCCCCTGGGGTTGGGGTGTCATACTGACGAGGCATATCCCTTTAACAACTTGAAACAGTCTATGTTTCAACCAAAATAAGGAAAGAAGAACAAAACAAACCAACCCCACAAACCTTCTGAATTAGTTTCAGTATTCCGGAGTTTGATAAGATACCAAGAACGTGTGTGTGTGCGTGTGTGTGTGTGCGTGCGTTCCAACACGAACAGAGGGTTGGTGGAGAAAGGTTGATGCGATTGATACTGAAGCGAGATACGGGGACTTCAGAGAACCGCAGCCAATTCTCATCCTCCTCCAGTTTCCCTTTGTTCAGCTGTTTGTGGCACAGTTCTTTTAAGTACCTTCACATCTCCTCAACCACCCCTCTGTATCTGATGCTGAGAGTTTATGAGAGATGGATGAAGCTGTGCGAGTCTGTGTGTTTCTATAGTCCATGTTTACTTATTGTAAATACCATTTTTATACTTAACATCTATTATGTACGTGATTTGTATAATGTACTTTATTTCTGCTACAAGTAATTTCATGAAGTTTAAACTTAATCTAATTTTGAACAAAACAAAAAAAAAAAAAAAGACCAACAAATGCAAAAATGAGAAAAAAAAAAACCCAAAAAAAGGACTTTGGAAATTCTAGATCAAGCTGGTTTAAAACAAGCATTTACAGTTTCTTCCATCACAGTTACTGATGTGACTGTACGATGTTACAGGTGCGATACAAGCTTTGTCAATGTCAAATTCCGCGCTCTGGTCAAAAAAAATCTTAAAATTTATTTAATAAAAGTTTTACTTGCTAAGTAACTGGGGTTTTACTTCATGTGTTAGTTGCACCTGCGTTTAGATAATGCTTACGCTTGAAGCCCATCACCAAAGGCCTGGGGCGAGGAAAGGCTGTTTCCGTTCAGCAAAGCATGGACACAGTCAGTTAAAAAGCTTTTCAGAGGGCGATGGATGACAGAGTCCTGCAGCGTACACCCCTGCCTTACTCTGAACACCACCCAGTGTCCCTGTGGCTCTAAGAAGGCTGGCTGTGGATTTTTTATTCCACGCTTCAGCATCTGAGCCCCAAAATGCAAGTTTGTTATATTAGCCCAGTTGCAACAAATGAGTTCAGCGAGCAAGCTCCAGCAGAGCTAAACACAAACCAGTCACAGCTCCCTGTGCAGGTACCAGACTTCTTTAATTCCCAGTTAAGGAATTTTAAGTACCAGAACTCCTGTGTGCTCTGCTCACACCTCAGAGAACAAAACCGGTTCTCTCAACAGTACCTTGATGGAAATCATTCAGTCGAGAGCCAGAGCCCAGCCCATCTGGTGCCACGCACAGAACCAGGAAAAGGGAAAGCAAATGCGCCCACTCCTCATCTCTGCCCTGAAGGTGAGGAACACGCCTGGGGTTGATCAAGAACATTTGACATGCCCATGGTTCAGCGCCCCCCTTCTCTAAAAGCACCGGTTTCCCTGGGACCTTCTTCTGTTCTGAAAACCCTACTGAATGGTGCTGCTGGAGAAAAGCAGAGTAAGAGCAGAGAATGACATCTAGGACTACCTCAAATTTTGATGCGTCCTTGCCCCTGCACCAACACAACCCTGCGGTGACTGAGCCAAGGTGTATACTGCAAACTCGTGAGAAGCAAGCAGGTGTGTGTTTTAGAAGGGGCGAGTTCAAACTCCAGAGTTTGTGAATTGCGGTGAATTCTTATTTCCACACAGCTCTGTGGAAAGCTTTGTCATGTCAAAATCCCATCAATGGCAAGGAGAGAGGAAGGAAAACACTCAGCTGGCGCCTGTTCCTATGATGTGAACAAAATGTACTCGCGACTAAAAGTGCCACACGCCATTCCCGGTAACAAGAATAAGAAGTCAAGCTGCAGTGACATCTCTTGCAGGCACACAAGTTTTTATATTTAGCTCGGAACAAGCGTGCACTTAGTCTAGCACCTAGCTGTCAACAGAGCAAAGGGGGGGGGACACACGCAGTGACCCTTCCCGGGAAGCCACCTCTCGCCAGCTAGAATGTACCCCTCAACCTGCAGTTTTTTCTCTCCTTGGAGAAGACTAGCTTTGATTGAAGAAAGATTGCCATTGGCAAGGCTCTGCACGCTCCATTTTAGTTCTATATCCCCTAGACAAGCCCGGTTTTAAAGCAATGCCTGGCTGTTCCCATAAATGCCAAACCTGTTAACCAGTTCTACAAAATGTTCAGCTTTCAAAGGTACTTAAAATTCCTTCAGGATTCATGCATTGCGGATGGGAACAACACACAAAAGAACCATCCTCTCAGCCACCACGGGGCCCACATGGGATCTTTTATCCCTCCAGCCCAGGAGGATTCAAGCAGAGGCTGCTAGAACCTACAAGCCATGACGCATAGCCATAGGAATAGCGTGGTAGGGAAGAATTCCCTCTACATTCTTTCTCCTGTTCAGTGCAGGAATCATCAACCCAACTCGGCATTTACGGCAAGGAGGAGCTGATTTAACAGGTCCTGTGCAGTCAGCAAACAGCTACCAGCAGGCCAGGTCACCAGCCTTCCTTCACAGAGGAAGAAGCATCAACATGTAACACCAACACATTAAAAAAAAATAGTTTAATTAAATTAGAGATTAAAATTCTATTTATAGGAAGCATCAACATGTAACACCAACACATTAAAAAAATAGTTTAAATAAAGTAGAGATTAAATTCTATTTATAGGAAGCAAGAAGGTTCACAAAATCCACAAACCAATGAAGCAGTGGAGCAGGATGTCCCAGGCATGCACAGACATTCCAGGACATCCTGTACAGACAGAGGCTAAAGCTGGAGCTGAGAGAAGACTGGAGGCAGTAAAAGCAGACAGGTGAGGCTGAAGGAGGGGAGATGGGTGGAGGGCTAAGGCAGAGTGAACAGCGGGAAAGATCTCTGACTGATGGGTAGAAATAGCAGAACTGTGGCTGAAGCAGGACGAGAGGGAGACCAAGAAGAGGCTTATGCAAAGAGTTGAGGTTATTTTGCCACTAGTGCTGCCCTGCTCCTGCTTGACACCAATGGTTGACTGGGATGCTTAGTGGGACATGGGGAATGCGCTTAGAAGGGGTGTAGGATGGGAAAGGAGACCGAGACTGGGGATCCCTTAAGGACTGCTGTAGTTATAGTAACTCTGTAAAACCTGGTCCCGGTCATTGCGGAACAAAACCCAGAGGCAGCACATGTGCTGCACCCACCACGGGTAGAAAACCTCCTGCACCCGTGTGGCACCCCCCCGGATGATGGCGAGTGCAGCTTCAGGAGCAGGAGAAGCAGTGAGGTGCACTTTGCCCCTGGAAGGAAACAGGCAGAGGATCACTCGGAGCCCATCAATCCTTGGTGTGGTTTTAACTGTGCAGACTGACTACCGCAGGGTTCTGCATGCCCATGTTCCATCCTGAGGCGGACATCACAACCCCCATGATGTACCCAAGCATAGAATCACAGAATCGTTTAGGTTGGAAAAGACCTTTTTAAGATCATCCAGTCCAACCATTAACCTAACACTACCAAGTCCACCACTAAAACAATTAAGGGGAGAGTAATAATTAATTTCATATTTCCTGGCTTGGTGGCTGGATTATTTTTTCATGAAAGTAAAACTAGGAATCATTAAAGTTGGAAAGGATCTCTAAGATCATCAGTCCAACCATCAACCCAACACCCCCATGCCCACTAAAACGTGTCCCAAAGTGCCACCTCTGCCTGTTTTTTGAACGCTTCCAGGGACGGGGACTCCACCAGCTCTCTGGGCAGCCTGGTCTAATGCTTGACCACCCTTTACATGAAGAGCCCATTTCCTCTTCTTTCCGTGAAGAAATTTTTCCTAATATCCAATCTAAACCTCCCCTGGTGCAGCTTGAGCCCATTTCCTCTCGTCCTATCACTTGTTACTTGGGAGGAGAGACCAACACCCACCTCCCTACACCCTCCTTTCAGGCAGTTGTAGAGAGCGATCAGGTCTCCCCTCAGCCTCCTCTTCTCCAGGCTAAACAACCCCAGTTCCCTCAGCCGCTCCCCACCAGCCCTGTGCTCCAGACCCTTCACCAGCTTCATTGCCCTTCTCTGGACACGCTCCAGCACCTCAGTGTCTTGAGCAGATGCACTCTTCCCATTAGTTTTCTTGCACATCCAAACAGATGCGCACACCATCTTAAACACAGTTGTTGTGCATTTTTTGCATGCTTTCAAGAAGAGACATGTTCCTGCAGACACATTCCCACCCAGACTCCTACATCCTCCTCCAAATACACACCTGGTATTCTCTAATGCCGTATCAGTATCAATCAGGCCCAGGATGCACAGCGTGATAGAGACGTTTCTCTTCTGCATGATGAGTTCATGGCGCAGCGAGCTGAAGAATCCATCTAGTGCAAACTTGGTGGCAGAGTAAGAAGTGGTGAAGGGAGTGGGTATTTTCCCTGGCAAGGAAAAGGGAAGAACGGAAAACACCAGGGAAGTGGCTGTAAGGAGGATGGTGCCATGGAGAGGGAATCTGGGCAAAGACACACGCTTTGCCATCCTGCATCAACCCATGTTCTGTTCAGGTGAGTTTCCCTCTAATTTCTAGTCACACGCAGGGACTTAGAAAATTATACCACTTTGTATGAGCACATCCCAGCACAAGAGCCACCACGTATGTGGATAAGGGGAGGAAATTTCTTTTAACTTACACAGTAACCAGGTCACATGCTGGGCTAAAAAGCCGAGCGTGATGGTCTATCTGTAGCCTTCCTCTCCCCCACCCATCACATGCAAACACATGGGCTGGGTCACACGCTGGTGTGTCTGGCCATGAAATTTCCCTGACACCAAGGCACGTTATGTCACAAGGCAGGGATGAGCCGTAGTCTGAACTTGTGTATGGTGATACAGCTCCCTTGAACACACACTGAAGACTTTCTCCTGCCTTTTCATCCTGTACAGTAGATGCAGCTACTCAGCAGCCTGCTACTCAGGCTGGCCAAAGCCAGAAGGCCTTAGAGTGGCAGGACTGTCTTAATGCTGTGTCAGAAATGCAGGAGAGATGGGTCTGGTTGTGAGGGACAGGAGCCAGACAAACAGATCTGGGCACATGGTGAGTGAAGAGCAAAGTTCCAAGGGAATGCAAAATAGTGCAACACAGAGAAGGTCTTCCAGAAAACAAGGCAGCCAGCCAGCCAGCATCCTGCTTGCTACTATAAAACGGACAGCTTGAAAATGTGTTGAGAGGTTGAAGGACAGAGAGAAACATGATGTGCTGGGAACCATTGTTTCCACAAGGCCAGCACTTATGCCAGTTAAAAGACACTAACCTGTGAGGGAAGAAACAACCACCAGAGAGCCTTTATTCTTCTCCAGGGTGGGAAAAGCTGCTGTTGCAAGTGCCACATAACTGAAGAAATTCACCTGGAATGATAGAAGTAGACATGGAAGAAACAAGAGGGTTCAGAGGGAAGGTCAGCATGAGACAGAAAGCCAATACAGTGGTCAGAAATGGAAAGGAGCATGGCGTGGATTTGCTTTTTCAAACATCAAGTGAAAAGAATCATCTCTGTGAAGATGGGGACAAACATTGCATCCATGAGTTTTTCAGATTCCAGAAAAAGCAATGAAGAGTCAGAGCAAAGGTTATTCCTGGGCTTTAACACACAGATTTCTTGACAAGGGACAACTAGCTGTCCCTGATTTCTCTATATGCCATTCTTTACTCTGCAACCCCTATCCAGCAACAAGGACACCAGCAGTGTCTCAATTTGCTCCCCTTTTAAGTTTCTCTTGACTGAGCTCAGACTACAACAAAGCATAACATTCAGCATCTCTTCTGAGCTTGACTGCTCTCTAACTTGTAAGAGCTTTCGTACCTCTGATCCCAAGTTCCCTACTCTCCAGCAAACAGGCTCCTTCCAACAAGAACCTAAATGATTCTATGAAATAGAACTAACATGACCCACCTGACCTAAGAAGACTGAATCAAGGAAACAGCTCATCATCTCCATGGTCCCAAAACCTGGTACCAAGGTAATTCTATAGGAAAACTCTGAATCTGTGAGCAGAGACTCAAATGGCAAACACCATTTCAAACAACCTTATTGTGTTCTGCAATGACATGTGCACTTGCTATCGATTAGTAGGAATTGCTTGCTCCTCGCCTATTGGCCTTCCTGAACTAGACATACATTGCACAACTGCCCATAGATACCCATCAACCCCTAACAGTCCTGGGCTAATGGGAGATAAGAAGGACAGAAGGAAGGAGAGAAGTGAAGTTCTTCCCAGACATTCCTCTGCACACATATACAACAACTGAGCAAAACATCTGTCTAGTAATAAAGCCTCCAAACCATTTAACTTGAAACACAGATGAAATAAAAAGTTTGTTCTCAACCATTGCCACAGACTTGAATTTGCCTTCGAGCTTCCCAAAGCTATCCCAGGAGAAGCCAGACTCAACCAATTCCAGGTGAGCTTTTCCTGCTGGGAAACCTCACCTGCATGAGCCAGCGGGTGTATTCCACATCTCCAGCCCACATCTGGAAACGGGTCACGCCAATGTGGTTCAACACCAGGTAATCCAGTCCCCCTGTGGATGGGAGAAAAAGCAGTCAAACAAAGGGGCCATCCCCTAACCAGCAACCAAGGAACTCCGAAATGCCAGCCGGAGAGTTGAACCAACCAGCTGCTCCCTCAGAAGGCTAGAAAGTGCTTTACCATGAAGATACATGAAATACATCAATCTGTGAGCAGCTTTGCCTGCTCCTCAAGGGTAGAATTGGAAGGAAAGCTGTTCTTTCTTGACAGCAGCTCTCCGAAATGATGTTTCAGGGTAATGCAGACTCGGAACTTAGTTCCGGTGGTGCACCCTATTTTCAAAGTTATACGTATACAAATTTGTAAAAGAAAAATTATGATTGGTGTTGAAATGTATCGGCAGAAACAGCAGAAGGTTTAAAAGAAAGGTATGAATTGATGGCTGCTGGACTGGCAGGTCATCCAGATCACAGCACACTTACAGTTTCTTAAGACACCCACATCAGGAAAACCAAGACCATAATGAAGTAATTAAGACACTCAAGCAACGGACAAAAGGATAGTGAGTATAATAGAAAATGCTGCCTAATGACAGCCTGACCCAAATGAGACAAGATGGAGAGGCGAAAGATCATAATCACTCAACTCCCACAGGGCACAAAAGACAATCAAAAAGCAGCACATGGTCACCAACCAAAAACCCAGAAGGCACAACGAGGACTCAACAGTGGGCATCCCTTGTCCTTTGTATCACCACAAGTAAGCTTGGCCAAGGTACTTGTGCTTGTGAGTACTGAAGAACGAGTGAATGCGAATGCATGAGAGTGGGAGTAGTGTGAATCAGTTCTGGTTCAAGTAAGACCACCTTCCCCTTCTATACAGTCTTGGACTGAGCTTTGCTACAGGGGCAGGTCACTGCTTTCAGATGTCCCAGTTTCTGTCTCTCTCAACACAAGGCACTTTGTTCAGGGTTGGGTGTGTGCAGCTGGCACCTGCTCACATATGGCAAATGCATGTACGTGTGGTACCCTGTGACAGGTGAGGTACCGCAGCTCTTGCTGTGGGGTGTGGTTTTAGTGAAGTACCACGAGCAAGTCCTTTCTGCATACTTTTCTCCTCTAGCAAAAGACATGCCCTCCCCATGAAAGGCAGCTAAAAAGGTGGCCACATCCAGATTGGTATTTACAAACCCCACACCCTCCCGTCCTAAACATCCCCCTCAGTGAGGAACATGGGGAAACTGAAGCAGGAAGCTGCTGCTGGAATGAGAACTGTCTATATACCCGAAAGCCAAAGAGATGCCCAAGATGCTTACCCAGCTTTTGAACAGCAAACTGAACCACCTTTTCAGGCTCTGAAGGGGAAGACATATCTGCAGGGATATAAAATATTTTCTTTGCTCCAAGTGTCAGGCATTTCTCCACCACCTTGAAAAAGAACACACACACACAAAGATTAAACAATATGGAGTGCAGGGAAAAGAATAAAAAAAAGGGCACTCTGAGGCACTGTTTTTTCCCCATACTACAGTCACTGAGAGTCAATTCTGGAGAGAGACACACTTTAATTTTAAATCTACTGCTGTTCAGCCCACAGAGAGCTCATTTTGCATCCAGACTTTGTTTAACCAGACAGTTAAATAGAGGTAACTCTTAACAGGCTGCAGATTCAATCTACCTTGGAAAAGGAGCAAGATTCACCTGAAAAAGACAGTTGTCTTCAGGAGAACTCTTCTGGAATAAGGGTTATGCTTTACAATAAGTTCTTCTTTTTGTTCCAAAATACCTGGTAAGGCTCTAGCAGTATTCATTTTTCATAGTTCCTTTGCTATGCTGACTATGTGAAGGTGCCCAGCAATGCTACGCAGTTTAGCTATTTGCTGAAATAATGCCTTCCAGGCATTAGGAACTATTCTTATGCTCACTGTCCCCAACTCTCCATTTGCGCCATTTCATAGTGAAAAACTTTCCTTGCAAGTCACCTATCCCCACAGTTTAAGAGGCACCTTCTCTAAATATTGTCCCATTTTATAAACTACAGATAAAGGAGTCTCATCTATTTGAGCTGACCAAAAACTATTTAACCTACAAAAAGGTTTGAGTCTTTAATAAAACAGCTACAAAGAGAACTGTTTGAACTCTGAAAAGCTGTACAATGTCGCACAGGAATTGTAGTTGATAGAATCACAGAATATCTCAAGTTGGAAGGGACCCATAAGGATCATCGAGTCCAACTCCCTGCTCCTTGCAGGACTACCTAAAACTAAACGATATGACTAAGAGCATCATCCAGATGCTCCTTGAACTCTGAGCGTCGTCCAGATGCTCCTTGAACTCTGACAGGCTTGGTGCTGTGACCGCTTCTCCCTGGGCAGCCTGTTCCAGTGACTGACCACCCTCTCAGTGAAGAACACTTTCCCAACGTCCAATCTGAACTTCCCCTGATGCAGCTTCACACCATTTCCTCGTGTAAATGTTCGGGCTGTAAAAAGTTCAGGCAGTGTATATAGAATCATAGAATCATAGATATGCATCTTCCTGTAAAGGTCAAGCTCCCTTCTGGGTTACACCTCCCCAATATGTAGTGTTACTGCCTTCTGGTAAGAAAAAAACGGGCATATTGCAGCAGGCACTGGTGTATGGCAACACAAAGTGGCCCATCCAGGACATCAGCTACAGAGAAGAATGGCACAGAGCACTGCCAGCAAATCAGGCTCAGAACACGTCACTGGCATGTTCCATCTTTCTATAGATGTGCAAAGAATTCTGAAAGCAACTTAGCTGGTTTTGCTCAACAGCAGTTCTGAAGGAAAATTTATCATGCTGACAACTAATTTGTTGTTGGTTTTTTGGTAAAAGTCCAAATCTCTTATGTCTTCCCTCATACAAGGATGTTCTTACCTTCTGCAGCACAGCTTCCCTCCTAGCAGTCAAAACAATTTCAGCACCAAATCTGGCATAATGATATGCCATCTGCTCTCCAATCCCAGCACTGGCTCCGGTCAGGAGAACGCGGGCACAAGACAAGCTCTCTTATTTATGGGAAAAAGAATAAAAGACATAGAATTAAGTGAAGGAAGCAGCAGAGGAGCTGCCCTTAACTATTGGCAGAGCTCTAAAGTAGAAAGGTGCGTGTAAGGGCTTAAAAGTCTTGATGCATCTCCAAAACTAGAAGAGGCAGGACTGACCTGTCATGGTTTAACCCCAGCCAGCAACTAAGCACCACGCTCGGTCACCCTCCCCCACCAGTAGGATGGGGGAGAGAATCGGAAGGCTAAAAGTAAGGAAACTCATGGGTTGAGATAAGAACAGTTTAACAGTTTCCAAAGAAGGGCAACAAAGCTGGTGAAGGGTCTGGAGCACAGGTCTTGTGAGGAGCAGCTGAGGGAACTGGGGTTGTTCAGCCTAGAGAAGAGGAGGCTGAGGGGAGACCTTATTGCTCTCTACAGCTACCTGACAGGAGGGTGTAGGGAGGTGGGTGTTGGTCTCTTCTCCCACGTAGTTAGTGATAGGACAAGAGGAAATGGCCTCAAGTTGCATCAGAGGAGATTTAGATTGGATATTAGGAGAAATTTCTTCACAGAAAGAGTGGTCAAGCACTGGAACAGACTGCCCAGAGAGGTGGGGGAGTCCCCATCCCTGGAGGGGTTCAAAAAACGGGCAGAGGTGGCACTTTGGGACATGGTTTAGTGGGCATGGGGGTGTTGGGTTGATGGTTGGGCTGATGATCTTAGAGATCCTTTCCAACCTTAATGATTCCTAGTTTTTACTTTCATTAAAAAATAATCCAGCCAGCAAGCCAGGAAACATGAAATTAATTATTACTCTACCCTTAATTGGTTTAGTGGTGGATTTGGTAGGTTAATGGTTGGACTGGATGATCTTAAAGGTCATTTCCAACTTAAACAATTCTATGATTCTATGATAATTGAAATATTATAATAATAATAATAATAAATGGTCTCCAGTCAACAAATCAGGGAGTCTCGGTGCGATATTGCCGCCGGTGCACTGTTGTGGTGGCAATCGGCACCTGTTGTTCTTCAACCCTCAGCAACCCCACAACAGAAGGGTTCTCCAAGAGACCGGGCAAGGTAGACAACTGTTTAATTTCCTCTGTCTCCAAGGCACCTATACCAAAAGCCCACTGGTACCCTTTTGGGTCCTTGAAATACTCTCTCCTGAGGCAGTCTGTACCAAGGATGCACGGAGCCTCTGGGCCAGTCACGATGGGGTGCTTCTGCCACTCATTCCCAGTTCGGCTCACTTCGGCCTCCAGTACAGTGAGCTGTTGGGATCCCCCCGTCACTCCAGAAATACAGATGGGTTCTGCCCCTGTACAGCTTGATGGCATTAGGGTACACTGTGCACCGGTGTCCACTAGAGCCTTGTACTCCTGCGGGTCCGATGTGCCAGGCCATCGAACCCACACAGTCCAGTAAAGCCGACTGTCCCTTTCCTCCACCTGGCTGGAGGCAGGGCCCCTCTAGTCCTGGTCATAGTATTCGTTACTCACTTCTTGTAAATATGAATCAGAAGTTTCTTCATTAAGATCAGGAGTAAGATCAGCCCTTCTACTCTGTCTGGGGAACTGCCCACTGGAGACCGGAGCAGCAATGTTCCTGGAAGAACCCCCTTTTGTGATTGTTCTTCCTTGCAACTCACGCACTCATGCCTCTAGGGTCAAGGTAGGTTTTCCATCCCACTTCCTCATGTCCTCTCCGTGGTCACGCAGCTAAAACCACAGGGTACCCTATGGTGTGTACCTCTATATCCTCTCTCTTGAGCAGAGGAACGCCTAGTCCTAATAGATGAGATACTGGTCCGTACAGGTGGGGAGTAGTATCTATCCTTGTTGAGTTGCTGGACCTTTCGGGACAGCTTCTCCACAGCCGAGACGAGGGAGGAAGAGAGACTTTCTTCATATTGCTGGAGTTGGCCAGCCAATTCATCCACCGTTTGTCCCTCTCCGTCATTCCAGGTCATTACCGCCAATGAGTTGGCATACGATGATGGTGCTCTCTGTAGAAACTTCTGCCACATGTGTCGTGTGCACCTGACATCTGGATCTTTGGATAACTGCTCATTGTTCAGATCACTAGAAATCACCTCGAGCACAGCTAAATCCCTCAGGTGCTGGATACCTCTCCATGGTCGTCCACTTGCCTGAGTGATATATAACATCTTCCTTGAAGGGGCACCTTTCCTTCACGCCTGACAGGAGTCACCTCCAGAGGCTGAGGACTTGTGCCCCTTTTCCAATCGCTTTGTCAATGCCCCCTTCCCTGGAAAGGGATCCCAGCTGCTTGGCTTCCCTACCCTCTAGTTCCACACTACTGGCCCCACTACTCCAGCATCAGAGCAGACAGGTGATAACGTGTTTGCCTGGACGATGGCTGAAATCCTTTTGCATATCTCGCAGCTCACTCAGGGATAGAGATCGGGTGGTTACTGTCTGATTTATGAGTTCTTTGTCTTCCCCCTCCTGTTCTCGTGGTGGCCCTGCTCCAGAGTAATCTGCCTCCTCGCCATCAAGACAGCATGCTGCTTCCTCCTGCTCCCTCTTAGGAGCAGCTTCCTCTTTCCTTTCTAGACGAGCTGATTTCCACTTCCAAGCTTTCTTCTTGTGTATGGGGGTGACCAATACTGGCACGGGTTGGTTCCCCGGTTTAGCCGCACGCAGTGCCTGTCGCCAGGGTTGGAGTAGCCACAGTGCCTGTTGCCGGGGCTGGAGTAGCTGCAGTGCCTGTGGGTTTGTTTTCCCTCTGTTCTCCCGGAACATAATACCGAGCAGTGTTTGGTACATATTAGCCAGTGCCCAGCGCAGTGCGATGAGTTGTGCCTCTTTGGAATAACCACAAGATTTTCTTTTCAAGCATCCTATCACTCCATCAGGATCCTGTAGTTGTTCAGGAGTGAAGTTCCAGATCATTGGAAGGGAGAAGTTTTCTAAGTACCTGCCCATATTCTCCCACATGCCAAGCCACCCATGACTGTCCAGCCTCAGGGCAGATCTCTAGGTAATTTTTTTAAATAGTTGTTTAAACCTAAATACAACCTGAAACACATTTAGGAGACATAACACTAGGAGCGTGCTGGTTTGAACATCCCAAGGATATTCAAAATTCTCGACAGCTGGTGTAACTAGCCTGAAGGAGAAAGGGAAGGTGAAGGAATGGGGGAAAGCATCCCCCCATCTTCCCCACGGATTGGTTCTTGGAGAAAAAGTGAAGAGTGTCATTGTTAATCATTTTCGAGAGATGGCGCCCGAGGTACAGAGAGGACAGCAATACCAAATACAAATACCATACGAGTTTTTTTGACGAGTGATATTATCGTATCATAAATCGATGTTCACAGTATAGTAGGATGATAATCCCAATCCATCTCCCAGAGGTGATAAACAGCACCGTGGGGAATGCATACTGTAAGTGAAGAATTACGTAATACAACCATGCGAACAAATAAACCAGCATTGTGACCAGCGAATATTAAACTAATATAACGAACGCTTATAAAAAATTGACTTTAACACGCTCTGGACAGATCTGTCGTTATCTCAACCCTTCAAGCCCCATGTTGGGTGCCAAAAAGGAATGTCATGGTTTAACCCCAGCCAGCAGCTAAGCCCCACGCAGCCGCTTGCTCACCCTCCCGCCCCCGGTGGGATGGGGGAGAGAATTGGAAGGGTAAAAGGAAGAAAACTCGTGGGTTAAGATAAGAACAGTTTAATAATTGGACTATAATAATAATAACAACAACAACAAAATTATAAAAGGTGAAAAGGAAAACAACAAGAGGAGGAACAAAACCCAGGGGAAAAAATAACCAAGTGATGCAACTGCTCACCACCCTCTGACCAATGCCCAGCCTGTCCCCGAGCAGCAATCGCTGCCCCCCAGCCACCCCCCCCTCCCAGTTTCTATACTGCCCATGACGCCGTATGGTATGGAATAGCCCTTGGGCCAGTTTGGGTCAACTCTCCTGGCTGTGCCCCCTCCCAGCTTCTTGTGCACCTGGCACAGCACAGGAAGCTGAAAAAGTTCTTGATTGGTGTCAGCACTACTTAGCAACAACTGAAACATCAGCACGTTATCGATATTATTCTCCAAAACACAGGACTATATCAGCTACTAGGAAAAAAATTAACTCTATCCCAGCCGAAGCCAGGACAGACCTGAAGAAGCCATGAGATTAACGATACCTTCCAATTCTTGCTAGACTGAAAATAATAAAAAAATCACCTTATCTTTGAAGAATGAGCTATTTTCCCCTTCTGACAGGTGCCTACCACAAAAAGGTTAGTCACCAGCCACCTCATGTCAAGTAGCCAGCCATATTGATCTGTTTTGGCCTGGGTCACAGGAAAGCCTGGCTAGCTCAACAAGCTCCAGCACGCGGCAGTCAGCTCGGCCTAGCTCCACTAACGTGCGACAGCCAATTCCCAGTTGCCATGAACAACCCCCAGGCCCAACTGCCCAAGAGGTGCATTGTTTTATTGCTGCATGTTTGTTGTGGACGTTATGCCTAGGCTATCACTGCCAGGGAATAATCACAGAATCATCGAATCGTTTAGGTTGGAAAAGACCTTTAAGATCATCCAGTCCAACCATTAGCCTAACACGACAAAGTCCACCACTAAAACAATTAAGGGGAGAGTAATAATTTCAAGTTTCCTGGCTTGCTGGCTGGATTATTTTTTAATGAAAGTAAAAACTAGGAATTATTAAGGTTGGAAAGGATCTCTAAGATCATCAGCCCAACCGTCAACCCAACACCCCCATGCCCACTAAGCCATGTCCCAAAGTGCCACCTTTGCCCATTTTTTGAACACTTCCAGGGACAGTGACTCCACCAGCTCTCTGGGCAGCCTGTTCCAATGCTTGACCACACTTTCCGTGAAGAAATTTTTCCTAATATCCAATCTAAACCTCCCCTGATGCAGCTTGAGCCCATTTCCTCTTGTCCTATCACTAACTACGTGGGAGAAGAGACCAACACCCACCTCCCTACACCCTCCTTTCAGGTAGCTGTAGAGAGCGATAAGGTCTCCCCTCAGCCTCCTCTTCTCCAGGCTAAACAACCCCAGTTCCCTCAGCTGCTCCTTGTAAGACTTAATGATATGATTATGCAAGTTAGCTGTGTCACATGCCCTTTGCCCTGGCTCCTAGGCCAATATCTTTCAAGGATGAAGCTGGTTTTCACATTATAAAAAGCTGTGCAACATAAACCAGGCTCTGGGCCTCCTGCCTTTTGCATATCATTTATTCTTTGCCACCAGTTTGGCAACATGTCAGCCGTCTTGTGCTGGGCACTGCACATCTATAGAGATGGTTCTTGACCCCAAGGAGTTTGCAATCAAAACAAAAAAAAAAAAGAGACAGGCAATGGCAAAGTACATGTCATTTTTTCCCCACACAGACAGCAAGATCCCTTGTACATGCTGTTAGACCATTTTGTCTTCCTCTTTGTTTCAAGATTCTCTTTATTTCTGGGAATGAATCATTGCTTTGGGACCACCAACTCTGGTATGACTATGGGCAGGAGTGAGACCACCAGTCAGAGTTTGGAAATGCAACCTCTTTTCTTATGTGACTTATACTCCAGTTTGGAATGACCCCCCTGGTGAGCCTACCTGGGTCAAAAGGGTCTTTCCAGAAGAAAGCTAGGAGTCCAGCTATGATCCCTGTAGCACAAAGCACTTTTCCAACCGGCTTCATATCCCTCCAAGTTGTGAAGAACAAAGTGAAGTCTTGAAGCTGAGCACTCCAGCCAAAATACTGTAATCTCTTTCCTCTGATGCTGGAAGCCAACCTGCAAGAGGCATGTAAAGTCCTTTTCTGTCCTGCGTATGAGAGATGCACCGTGTAGAACTGAGACTCCACCTGAGAAGTCCCTGCACTGGGAGCCAAAGAAGTCACCTTTGTTTAGAATGAAAGATAGGGAGGACAATTGACACTTTGATAAGAAGCTGCAAAGAAGTTGCTGTTTCCCTGTTGAAGAGAGGGAACACCACAGTTCTGCAAATGGTTTGCATTTGCCCAAGAAAGTTTAGGGCTTGGCTGTGCCAAGTAGTGCAACTCCCTGTTCAGAGGAAGCAACCTTGGCAGGATGAAAAATGTAAAGCTGCAGGCCTGAAGACAACGAAACCTGCTCTCGTATGAGAGGAAGGGATCCAAAAAAGGTGGAAAACAGGTCTGGAGAAGGCTCAAGAAATCATCTCATCTATCTTCCTGCCTTGCTCAACTCCTCTTTTCTCAGCCTTTCATCCGCTCCAGGATACCTGGTCTGGCATTCAGCCTGTCTTAAATGAACTAGACTGGGGGAATTATTTTTAAAATGTCTGTCCCTAATGGAACACTCCACAGAAACTTGTGGAGTCAGCACCAATTCCTCATTTAAACCTGTGACAGGTGCACCCACCCTGATACAGACCAAGGTTTCCTGACCACTGAAACGTAATGGCCGCTGATTCTTTTCGCGCCCTTACTTTTTGCACCTACTGTTGTCACATACACAGTTGCCGGTAGGTAGAGCCCTCGGCCAAGAAGAGCTGATATGGCCATCTATGACCGCAGGTCAGCTTCGACTCGGGTATAAATGGGGTCCCGCCGGGGGGCAAATGGAGTCAGTCCTCCTCAGAGCAGCAGGACTGTAGCTGGGGGCTCTCCCCTAGGGTCGAGACGACGCCCAAGGTAACCCCTCGAGGCTGAGAGCCCTTGCCTTATGAGGCGAGCGACTGCACATCTTGAGTCATCGTTCTAAAGCTTAGGAATTCTTAAGTCGGCTGTGTAGAATTAAGTCCTTTTGGCATCCTTAACCTGTGGTTCACTAATGTTTGTCGGAGTACCAAAACACATTTGATTAGAATAAATCTTATTTTGGGTTACATCACCTGCCTGATTTGACTTTGTGCACCTCCGTGACAAAACCATGACTTGAAAGTCTAATTTTACACTAAAAGCCTTCTGCCTTTTGTATTGCTGCATTCTATTTCAAATGCTCACAGATATACTTGATGTTAAAATACATCAAATCTGAAAAGCAAAACTAATTAAATTATTATCTCTTTTCCAAAATAATATATTATCTGCAGCTGTTGACAAAAATTTAAAACAGGTATGAAATTGCATTGACAAATTATGTTTACATGTGCTTTTCCATACTTTGGGAATTATACATGCCTGCCATATACAAAATGTTGTACAAGGCAGGGAAAAAGGTGAGGGATTTATTTCTGTACTTCTCCTTCATTAGAACTTGTCCTGCAAAAGGAAAATCAAAACTTAAGTCAGTATCAAAACTTACTGATACTAATAGCATTCACTTACCAAGCTCAGCATCATTAGCCAGTACTTTTTGTCTGCATTTTCTGAGTTTTTGTGTCTTCACAAATTCTTTAGTAGCCAGAAGCAAGCAGATACAGTGAATATACAGGGAATTAAAAAAGAAATTTTGCAGTAGTTCCAGAAGTTGTCTTCTGCAAAACTCACTTCATCAACTTCCACAGTTCTGCAAACATGTTTAAAGCTAGCTTTTGGTGGGGGGGGTGGACAGCATAGCAGGACATGGCCAGTACTTACTGAGATAATGAAATTAACAGTCTTACCCAGGGTACAGAGACGATCATGGACAGAAGTCTTTCAGGATTGGGGTCTGGAGAACATAAAAAGGAAAAATGGGACCAAGTGTGAACTTCAGTAGCTGGAAGGTTCTGAGATAATATAGTAGATACTCTTGAAGTGGAGAAGTCAGCAGGTAGACTTGGAACTCAAGGGGTTTAAGTTAAAAGCATAATGTGATTTAACAACAGAACAAATATTTTCCTATTTCTATTCATTGTATCTATTTCTACTCCACTATTATGAACAGGGGATCTAGGTCAGCTGAGTATCAGCAGTTCAGACCATCTAATATTTGCTTAAAGGTGGACAAAACAACAAATACATTCTGTTTTGAACCTGTCTGGATTTTCTGAGGATTAAGAAAAAAGTGAGAAACAGCTGCCCGCGCTGAGAATTGCGATGGCTTCCGAACACGACAGGCACCCACAGCAAGAGCTGGCCTTGTTTTGGCCAAATTTTATGTAAGCGTGTACAAAGGCTAAAAGGTTAGGAGCTGTATTAATTAAAAAAAAAAAAAAAAAAAGAGAGAGAGAAATAAAAGAGACAAAGAGAATACATCTGATTCTAAGAAAAAGACCTTTCACTGGCAATTCCCACAGCTCTCTGAACTTGTTAGAATCCTCGTCTCACAAAATAACTCCCGAAACACAGGAAGCCTGTTTGGAGAGGAGACGTTGCTTTATTCCGCGCAGGGTGAACGGTGGGATGGTGCCACAAACCGAGCACCCAGCGGCGCCTCAGACGGGCAGGCGCAGTACTTACACAATTTGATTATACATACTCATCTTCGAAACTCTTCTTGGTAAGCAGCTTCTCGTCAGTCTATATGCAGTGTTCAACGAGCGAGTGTTCTCCTGCCATCCAACCTCAGGCTCCGCTGGTGCAGCGCGAGGCCCCTTCCTCGGCCCATTGCTTGCCGCCGGCGACAGGACGGGAACGGGACAAAAGGCAGCAAGCAGCAGAGCGAGACAAGACTCGGGCCATGTCATTAAAATGAGCTGGCGCCATAAGGCCCGAGAGAATTTTTTAAATTATTTTTGAGAGGAAACAAGGGAAACTTTTAAGCGTGCTAGGGGAACGCACTAGCAGATGGCGGTATTTGTTACGGACACGCTCACTTCTCCCTGGTCTACAGGAGGAAAAAAAACTCACGCCTGATCCTACGGAACTTTTAATTCATTAAAGAATTACTGAGCTCGCAGCTGGCACAGTAACCACCGACGGCCGTACCTCAGGATGGGCGGCACCTGCCCTGCACAGCGCGGGCCCCGGCGGCTGACAGGAGCTTCCCAGGGGATGCGAAGAGCAGCGAGGCGCGAGGCACCGGGCACCGGCCA